TCAAACTTGTCTGTGAAAGAGCCACTTCAAACCATAAAAGGTGTTGGTTGCCTGCGGTAAAGACTTGGTGACACTCTTGCGCGGATATCCTAAAATTCCAAGGAAAATAAACTCGACCAAAACATCCATGAAAAAGGCCAAAATCCTCAAGTGGCAGCCGAATCCAGACGCGAATCCAAAGCCCCTAATGGATAGCGGATTAAAGACGACGTAGCGTATAAAGAAGTGCCAGGATCGGCACATTAATGTCGAGTATCTGCACATTAATGTTGAGTAATATCAAGATCAATATTGACAACAACAATGATAATTATGGTAAATAAAAAGGATAGAGCTCTTGGCGTTGATCAATCCCTGAGGGATGCGCCATGCATTCGACTTCATTAAGCATCGTTTGGAGGTGATTGAATGCATATCTGGTCTTTACAATAGCTCGCGGTGGCCTACTGGTGTATCGAGCCAGTGCTGCTATTCTCCCAGACAAGTCTGGTACCGATTTGCAGACCCCGGAGGGATGGAAGGCTTGGTGCGTCATGGGCGCCGGGATCGATTCCACGTGTGTTTCGGGGCGCCTCCGAACATCGCGCCACACGCACGCTTGATAGTTATGGCAGCAATGATAATAATAACGACTACTATAATGCTGAGATATTTGCAAAACTCCGGACCGCAGGTGTCTGCGGTGGGGAACGTACGCGCTAGTGTCCTTTCCAGGGTGTAACGCGTTCACCACCACACCATGAGGTTCCTTCGTTTCGCCTGTTTCTCAACTAGTTCTTTCGGTTTTTTGCCATACAATAATAATAATAAACAATAATAACAGCAACAGTAATGGTAATAATTATGACAAAAAGGAGAGATTCTGCCGTGTAGGTAGATATCTGTGGACTTCTACCACTTTTTTGTGGAATGAACAAAGTTTTGTATTAGCGGAGACATGTTGGTTTAGACTTGAAGACGGTCACTATTTTTACATCGTACGTATCGAAATCAATGCAGAAAGCGTAATAATTGTGGAAGAAACTGGTGGAGCAGTACTATGCACTGGTGAACAAATGCAAATGCAAAGCTGGGATCGGCAATGTGTGCAGTTGAAGCGAAGCGGGGTTCAACGTAAAGCTGTCCTTACCGAAATAATTGGCCGCACCGTCATCGTTTTGACAGATAGTTCTAAAGAAGAGTGTATGAACTGGCTGACAACAATAACTATTTAGAGAAGAGTTCGTGCAGACGTAAAAAAGAAAAGAAACGAGGTGAGTTTCATAGAAGAGCAGAGGAGAATTGTCGTCAGATTCTCCAACGATGTGAAAATGTCCCGATAACTATTTATGAATGGTTTCTAAACCAACTTTGTGTCAGCTCATTCATAAAGAAAATTATTTTTCAGACAACCTTCCCATATCTAAAATGCTTCAAATCGTTTTTTTTTCTTGTGCAGCACTTTTTTCAGCAGCAAAAAGGCTCCTGTGAAGACCGACTGTCTTGTACTTCAGCGTCTCTACAGTAGGTGTTCTTTCGTGAACTTTTGTGACGTGAGTGGTTGCATAGATTGAAATGGCTATTGGCAAAAGCAGTGGTGGGTTAACATGTCCTCTAAAATAATAAGGGAAAGAACTCAATAAAGGAATAGACATGAAATATTAAGAAAACGATTGACAAGAATTTAGGTGGCATGTCATTACATACCGTCTCTTCTTAGTTCGTTCAGGGAAGTGACAGTGGTAAAGCCGAACTTATGCTCCATTAATTCAGCGTCTTAGGCGCTTATTACTTCTTTCGATTCATAGCAGTTCCATGTCACCTATCAACTGTAGTTGGCAAAAAACCTTCTTAATGAACTTAATGAACTTCCAGTTTTATGGGAAGACCTTCTTTGTCCCAAGTGACTCCGGTGAGCCATGATACTTTAGTACGTATCCACAATTCGACGTTCATGAGCACCTTCATGTTAGAATGAAGTTAATCGAGAAATATGGGCGTTTCTTAATGAGTCAGTCTAGTCGATAGTGTCGACGTCTTGTGAGCCAGAAATGGATGGTGTTGACACTTTATAACATCTGACTCCCTTTATTTTATTACCACAAAAAAAAACGAAAGTTTGCTATCTATGTTACTGAGTTTCGCCAAAACAGTCAACTTCATCGTAAATTCCCAGTTTGAGTAACCTTGCTGAGGACATTAATCTACCCAGAATCAATGGGGAGTTCGAGATCTATCTCAATACAATAACACGTGAACACATGTAATACACATAGAGCTCGCAATTCGTCATTGCGTTAAAGAACTTTAAACCAATGATGGCATCTAGTTGGACGGAATGAAAGATCCTAAGCGAAGGAAACTGAGAGTAAATCTAAAACTTATCACTTCTCACTTGATTGTTATCACAGCTGCACTGATGGACCTTACTACACCTTTTTAGTTCATCGGCAACGTCCATTTCTACCCATCCTAATCAAGAAACATACAATATGCTCAAGCTTCTCGTCAAGAAAACGTCTTCTACCTCAAAAAACTCTGCAAGACAGGCACCTTTTATTAGTTCAATGTTAGAACTAAGTGAGTCAAAACACTAAAGAAGCATTGTTCATCACAACAGAGATACTCATGCAGAGAAAGGCTAATCTCTATAGTTGTTGGTGCGAATGAACTGGCGCCAGTACTAGTGCCAGCTGGTTCTCGATGATGAAACGCTGCCGTTGTGTCTTTCGCATTACTTCGATGATTCATTTTCAGGTGAAAAAGGGCTCTGTCGCTACGACTACAATGATTACGATAGACCCGTTAGGATTTGATCAGCTTTAACTCAATGCGTGTACTAAGAAGATATACACCCGAGTAAATGCTGTTAGGCATGTAGTGCGTGTCTTGTGCAATTTACTCTCCCTTCACTGAATTTGCATACTTCATCTTGATGAACAATAACGGTCTATATACATATGTATTCAATATACAATATATATGTCATATATATGTCATATATATATATATATATATATATATATATATATATATATAACGCATGCAAATACTATCATGCGAGGGCGCGTGTAGCGCATTGCTCAGTGGTGCACTGTAATGCACAAGGGTTCAAGTCCCCGTTCCGTGTCCACCAAGGCTTCCATATTTCCGGGGTCGGCAAATTGTATCAGATCTGTCTCAGAGCATAGCAGCAGCATCGAGTCAATACATCGGTAGGTCACCGCAAGTCATTGTAAAGGCCAGATATGCATTCCTGCCTTTAACGTCCCATCCCCTCTAACGATGCTTGATGAAGTCGAATGCATGGCGAATTCCTGAGGTACTGATCAACGTCAACAGCTTTATCCCTTATCATTTACGCACCATTATGATGCAAAGTTAATGACGGCAATTCATTTCGAACTTGTCAAATACATCTTATAACAAGTAATAACCGAAAATCATATCGTTTTCTGTTCCGTTAATAAACAAACGCAGACCTCTTACTGTACTACATGTTTATCCAGGAAAAGCGACGCTTTGGCGGGATTCACCTTCGTCAGAGTTTTGGAAGATCAAGATGACTGCAGTCTAGTCAGTCCAACAGCTCCATGACATCAAGATAAAACCACAATATCTAGATTTCAAATACATTGTAAACAAAACAGCTTCTTCACACACTCATCGACTTCAGATAAACGCCGTTTCTATCACTCTTCCACTTATTGATGGAGACCAATCGTGCAGAGTCTACGTACGTGGGTAATGTACTTCTCTCATGTACAAATATCAGTCTGAGACATTGTGCAAGATCAGAAGTGATACTTAGGCATCTTGAAGAGTTGTAGATTCCTGTAGGAGTATGGTGACTTCTACCAGAACTTTCCCCGCTGTGCCTCTGTGCCTTATGCTCATAGGTGCAAAATGATCTACCCACTTCAGCAATGTATTCGTCCCCGCGTGCTTTACAAGAGATTAGACACACCGCATCATAGCTCATGCAATCACCGTCTCCATAGTGTTTTCGTTCATGAGTTCAAACCTCGAAATATAGCCGTAGAACAAACATGAATTGTTATCAACACATGTGCGCATGTAGACGTTTCGAAATGCACAACATGATTAAAAAAGTGTCCTGTCGAAGACATAAGTCATAACGATGATGAAGAACGTATGCGTCCATAAACAGTTTATGACAGTCATATGAAGGTGATAATAGGCTTACACCTTCCAAAAACTACTTAAGGGACTGCAGAAGAAGTTGGCGCACAAAACTATTTATTATATGAAAGAGATTGGAAATGAAATTTCTGTAAAATGCCGTACGTATTGAACGGGTAGCTAAGGTATCACGATTTTGAAGCCTGCTCTGAGATTCCTTCACGTACCAAAACGACAAGTGCCTTGGCGCTATTGCGATGTTCGATGAATGGCAACCGATGACGTTCAGTTTACGTTCAGTTTCACTAATTGGATTTCTTGAGTGCTTCGAGGTTTCACCAAAACACGATTGAGCTGACCCTTTGCTGATTTGCCGTCGAATTAACCTACCACAACAAAGTGGTTATTACATCAGCCAGGCGACGAAATCGATGAGATGCTGTAAACATTGCAGCATATATACTGAGCATTAATTGAGAGAAAGGGCATTCTTCTTACAAAACATCGCTCAAAGTTCGCAACTAACGCTGTGAAAATTGAACAAGTTGCGCTACGTAACCCTGCCTTATCTACCGCACTCATCGAACATATCGACTACCACTTTTTTAAGCACAGCGGCAACTTTAAGGAGAGCTCTTCATCAACCGTTCCTGAGAATTTCCTCGAAGAATTCATTGCTCCTAGAGCTGTGAATCTCTCGCTACTTTTTGAGTCCAATCTGGTATGTACGCTATCCATTCAGAGTTTAATGGCGCTAAACACCGCAAAAGACTCCAGCTAGCGTATTTTGAGCCACCTAAACTTATGATTCATCCTCCCAAATTGTTTACAAAATAAAATTCTTTTATAACAAAAGAAAACAAAGATCTTTCATCAAATTACGTTGAAAATGACAATATAACGCTGTCGTATAACTCGTTTAAAGTACTACAATCAATAATTGATAATGAATTTGATGATGGACGTTTCAAAATTCGTGATGCTATGTGAATAACATGCACCTGCAATGCTTGTCGTAAACGATTTCTGAGAGTAGAATCCCGTAAAGTGACAGTGACTATGAAAAAAGATTGTTCTTTAGTGACGACCATACGTAGTAGATGTTTTTGTGACTGGTTCAGAACAAGCAGCGCATCTGTAGACGACGTTCCAGCTGGTAATGACTGGAATCGATCCCTAGGCAAAAGAACACGCAGTGCATTGACTGGATCGTCATTATCAGGGCATCCGGCAAGTAGATCTATAAGGCAACAAGGGAGCTGTAGCGTGAAGCTCTGTAACCAAGACTATTATGATTAAAAATTGAAAAACTAACCAGAAAGCATACTTACACCTAGAACATTCGACAGTTCTCTGTCAACTGCCGGCAACGGACTATCCACTTGATAAATGTGGTCTCTCAGTGAAAGAAACACGTCACCAAGATTTATGCAGATATATTTCGCTTCATTTTGTATATAGAACATTCTAAAACATAAATGATTAGGAAGACATTTAAAAATAAGAGGACACAAATTCGGCAAAGATTGAAAAACCGGGAAGTGTTACAACAAAAAGGAAACGATAAGAAGTAACCATAAATAGTATGACTGCAACCCACTCGACCAAATTTTCCTTAAAAGAAATCTTACCTTGTCAGCTTTAGATGGAACAGAACTGGCAGATGAAGATATTGATGAGGAAAAAACAATTCTGAGGTGAACACCTCGCCCGGTGCCAAATGAATTAATGCAGCGCTCTGCGAATACGAGCCTAAACCTTCTAGAACTATCTTAACTCTTTTATTTACTGCCTTTTTCTTCTTAATGGCAGGGTATGTTGTGAAATATAACTCGTATGAAGTGCTGAGATACTTGCAAAACTCCGGACCACAGGTGTATGCAGTGGGGAACGAACACGCGCTGTTGTCCTTACCGGGGAGCAGCGCGTGTTCGTTCCCCACTGCATACACCTGTGGTCCGGAGTTTTGCAAGTATCTCAGCACTTCATACGAGTTATACTTCTAGAACTAGTCAGAATGCAGTCAAATATGAAATTAAATGTTTAGAATTCCAACGATTCTTATTTTGAAAGACAATATAGACTTTCCAAAAAACTAGGACTATTTTTTGAACTTACAGGAAACCTCTGAAGTTGTTGAACAAATACTGACAGATATCGACCAGTCTTTTAGATCAAATTTAGAAGTATTTTGTATAGAGAAAGCGGTAATAGAAGAACCAGTTGTAAGACATTTTAACTGAAATGGAATACAATATCAACTGGGTCATATTGACTATTCTCTTAGCGAGAAATTAGTAATACTTCAAAAATGATGAAGCAAAAACCAACTGAACTATACAACTATGCACAATGAGAAGTATAAGCGATGGCAAAGCATACAATTCCCAAGATCGACTTTTTCTTAACCTCGGCATTGGAATATGAATGCGTCGTTTTCTTGTTCAGCAATCGCGAGGACTGGCAGTCGTCAACCATATAATCAGCTGTTCTAAACTTCCTCATTGGAAGTCACGAAAAAGCGGCTCTGAAGAAGGCGATACTGCCGAAACGTCAGCTAGCGTTGTATTGTATTGTGTTTTAAAAAGCGGCTCTGAAAGAAGGCGATACTGCCGAAACGTCAGCTAGCGTTGTATTGTATTGTGTTTTTCTATGGAAGTAAATGTATGCTGTTTAAAAACCTAGCGATTGCTGAACAAGAAAACAAAGCATACAATGTTAACTTTTTTATTTACTTCCTAATATCATTTTTCACAGCAGGATATGATATGAAATACAACCACTATGACCCTGAGATATTTGCAAAGTGTCGACCCCAGCGCCGGATTTGTACCCACTACTGCCCTTCCCTTTCGGGTGCTCATTTGTTACCCACTGCATCACTGAAATCCTTGCTGTGCCTTAATCTCAGCCAGTTTTTTACGAAAAAGTGTCATCTGATATTTAAGGAATACTTTCCTGTGAATTTCTACACTGATAATGAAGGGTGCGTAATTTAAAAGAACCAGGAGTTGAACATATAATGAAGTGAAGGAAGCTCCGCACTTACCTCAATACTTGTCTGGAGTGGACAATCTGATGCACGGTTTGAGTAGCAGTCTGTCATGCTTTTTTGCAATTCCAGAGCAAGTTTCACCTAAACGTCACTATCGTTTTCTAAATGTGAAAATACAACAACTAAAACACGAAACAGGATACCAGAATTTCAGCAATATTATTATATTATTATTATAATATTATTATTATTTATATTATTATTTTTTATTTTAATATTATTATTATATTATCACAACCCTACTTAGCTCTATCTATTACATGTCGCAAAAAAAGGACACATCGTCGATCTTGTGCACTACAACTCAAGTAAATTTTCAGTCTCTCTAAGAAGCTTCAGTCTCTTCAGGGAAAGTCGGTTTCGAAATATTACTACGCTTTGTGCTAGCTGATAAAACACCGACTTCTGCACGATGTCCGCAACGATGTATGTCCGGAAGAAATACAGGTCGTTACCACCGGACATTATCACTATATATCCACCATCAGCATCGTGTATAAAAGGGCATCACTGAGTGAGGATGCCTCATTCGAGAAGATGGATCACTGAGGAAGACCTGGCTCGACACGAAGGCGAAGCTGAAACATCGAGGTGAACAACAATCATGGACCATCGGACTCGGATCATCGGCTCTGAGGAAGACGAAGACGTCGAAACGTTAGCCGAAAATAAATATATTTATCAACCTCGTGCAAGCTTATCAAAAAAGAATGCATATCTCTAAGAAGCATTACTACTTACAAAAAGCAAAGTTACACATTCATTTTCTAGGCTTTCAAGTAAGTTTTCAAAGTAATTCGATATCAAATAGTAAAAGCATTTCTTCCAATCGAAAGGATAACGAATGAAGCTTTCGGCGCTGCTCTCTGGCATCTAATAAAAAAGCGATAGCTGTTCACAACGACATTACTCCACAGTTTCGACCACAGTGACCGTATTATACTTCAACCACTAAGCCGAACAAGGAAGCAAAGTGCAAAGGATGTGAGAAATGATACCAAAACTCAACCAAACCTGCGATTGGACTCTTTCAAATAACTTAAGCGTATGAAACGACCGAGAAACAATATCTGCTTGCAGAGATATTTGCACAACTACAGACCGCGGGTATCTGCGGTGGGGAACGAATGCGCTATTACCCTTTCCGGGTGATAACGTATTCACCACCACACCACTCGTGTCCTTCGTTTCGCCTTTCTCTCAGCTAAGAATAAATTCGAGAAAAGAGAACCTATTTATGCCCATAACAGATTGAGCAGTACTATCTTGTTAAAGAACCACTGACGTTTACACCACACCTGTTTTGCCTCCTCGTCTAAATAATCCATTTTCGTTTCAATATCTGAACGCTTCCTCACCAAATCGCGGAACTCTTCGACCTCGACATCAGGTGAAGAATCTTGTTCACCAAGCAACATCCTAAAGACTGCATTGCATTAAATCACAAAAGTCCCATAGAACTATTTTTTCTCAAGTGCAGTAATGAATAAATATGGAAAAAATTTAAATAAATCAGAAACCATAGGGAGGTGAGATCTACTGCGGTGCTCTTCGTGTCACTTATCCTGTTGATCGTCGAATGACACCATGAGGTCCGATTAAAGGCACCATTCGTATTGCGAACAAAGGCATTCTAGTAAATTAATTCTGTTCGTGCTAGAGATTTGAAGAGCATCATCATTTTCTTCTCCATTTATTGTGAAGAAGGGAGGGTAGGCTTTCTGCTCTGCGCTTGAGACCCCCACTGGAAGCCATACACTAGCAGCTTTTGCCGCCCTTTGATAGGCAACTTTATTAAGACAAACCTCTGCATTCCCTACTTCGTCCCCGTTATATGAGGTACTCCTATCTTATCCCTCTTGACAACACGTTTTATAGCGCTGACCGATATTTCACCCCGTTCAAGTAATGACCAAGTAACCGATGTTTATGTTAAGGCAGAAAGAACCATAGAGTACCAAAGGTGGACATCAGTTGAGTGTTCTACTTCCTTCACTACATCCTCAATGTTCTTGGTAACTCCCTAAGTCGCTCGATTCCTCTTATACCGTCTAGAACTGTCGGAGATATTCATTCAGTTCAGCGAAAATGTGACATTAGAAACAAATCCGTACTTCAAGAACACCGTTTTCGTGATATGGTCGAAGACCAATCGTTCCGCAAGCGTTGTCGAAGTCAGGTAGCACTTTTTTCAGCCTGGCTGTTGCACACTGCTATAAGAAGGATATCACCAGTAAAATGAGGATGTTATAGCTGCCGAGCCGACCATCGACTTCCGCCCCTACATTTCTCCATTCGTTTTCTCACGACATTCTCGAGTTCGTTGTTCGTAAAATCGTTAAATAACGGCAATATTTTGGATGTGAAATCTTTAAATAGCTTATAAAGAATATCTAAGCATTAATTAAGGAAGCCTTAGATGTCCCGAACTTCTACAACCACTTCTGCCTTAACTAAACCAAATGTTTTTTTTTGAGCAGACAAAGGTGACACAAGGCGGTTTCTTGTGCTCTTGCGATACTTGAGTGGAGTGGCGTAAGTGTCGATATGGTCCATCTTACTGAGTCATTTGCCAAATACTGCTCGCTGATATGTTTACTCGTTGTTTGGTGTCCTGCCAAACCTGTCAAGGACCATTCGAGGAAAGAGTTTGTAGAAAACGAGCAACACAGATTGATCGACGACTGCAGATGTCGGGCAGGTCCTCGTTTTGTGCAACGCCACTATTTAGCTGATCTTCCAATAATTTAGAGAAATGTATCCTGCTAACGCGCAAAAACCTCACCTAGAGTACTGGTGAGGATTAGCCGTAACTTCTAATTTTCTGGTCCAATCCTTTCCGGACCGGACCTTGTACACTTGGCGACTAGAAAGCACGTTGGATTTCTAACGAAAACCTCTAGAACGATAAATTCCTCCTCGTTGAATTAATAAGTAGGCAAAATTTGAGTACAAGAAGACTAGAGCAGAGGTGGTGGCTGAGTTCCTCTACCATCTTTCTGGAGGCAGTTACTGTTCCTTTGTGACCGCGACGATCCAAGTCCCATAGTTCACTAAATGTCAACCAACGTTGCAGAAACTGTTCCGCAGCATCTACAGCTTAAACCGTTGGTGCTGTTCTTATTACTTTACGATGTATTCTTCTCGTTATTTTACAGAATCGAGACATTATTTCGGGAATGATTTCGCGTTTGCCCATGGCCGGTGCGATTGCATATTGCCCGATTAGCTCGCGTGTTGCTTCAGATAGATGACGTCTCTATGGTGACTTTCGAGGTTTAGGCTTTTAGCACTAAACTGAAGGTGTTAATTAACCGTATAAGCCATTAACGTTGTCGACAACAGTATCTACGGAAGTTTATTACTCACTCGAACAACTTCTAACTTTCTAACAAAATGGTTTTGAAATTTCCCTTGTCTCTTGAATTCTGTTCCTCTCTTTCTTGTAAAAAACAAAAAATTCATTTGACTATAACGGCCAGATTCTACGTAAAACTTCGGGGATAACATAAAAGATAGGCAAGCAAAACATTTAATTTAATACAGTATCACCTAACGGCGCATGTGGCGCAGTGGTCGGAGGCGCCCTGCAACACACATGTGGAATCAATCCCCGTGCCCATGACCAACCAAACCTTCCATCTTTCCGGAGTCGGCAAATTGGTACCAGACTTGTCTGCTAGGATAACAACACTGGCTCGATACATTGTTAGGTCACCGCGAGTCATTGTAAAGACCAGATATGCATTCAATCACCTCCAAACGATGCTTAATGAAGTCGAATACATGGCGCATCCCTCAGAGATTGATCAACGCCGAGAGCTTTATCCTTTATCCTTTATGGTATCATCTTGGCACACGGATCTCAATCATAGAGCGATCTCATGCCACTAAGTGGCAAGGCAACGTGGCGCATCCCCAGGTGGTGAATAAAGGTTAATCGCGTAACAAAAGCGACTTTTACCTCCTTGCCACGCAGGTGAATCCAGGGGATAGACTCTCAGTTTCTGCTGCGCCGATTTGGCACACTTCATCTGAATTTACGAGGCACATACATGCATCCGTGTGGGGATGCATTTTCGTTTTTGCGGATTGGATTTTAGGAGTCTTCTCGACAAACTGTTTTTCTAGGCGAATAGCATAGTGGTAGTGATACCGGTCATCACGAGCATGGTGCTAGTTCGATTCCGCTCCTGGTCAACCAAGACTCATCCCTCAAGGGTCGGGAAATTGGTAACGGTCTTGTCCGGGAAAAAATTAGTCTCTGCTATCAAACTGAGGACCTTCCAGCCTACCTATCTCAGAACACCAGGGAGAATCGACTCGACCAGCATTCTACAATGTTCAAGATGAAATGAAAATCTTAACAAAGCAGCCAAAGCCACACGCAAAAACTTGGAAGACCTTCGTGGATGATGGATGCGAGGAAACGAATCGAATGTGAGCAATGCTGGGATTCGCACAGTTGACGTGAAGACGGGTCGTATGAAATTTTAAAACAAAATAATTCTACAAGTTAGTCCGGCCAAAAGCCAGCAAACAAATGAATGGGAAATATATGGAAGAAGGTTAGGAGTCGCCTCCAACAAATAAGCTCCATGTCCACTCTGGGAGCGACTGGCAAGTTACCCATAAATGTACCCAGCCCCATGTTCAGAGTCCAGCAAGCTATACGTGGGTATCAAAAAGCTAAGAACAGTAAAAGAAATGGGCGTCCTTCCATTCTAGGCTCTGAAGGAGGTGATACTCAGCATGCGTCATGAAACGTCAGCATTATCGGAGTAAAAAATAAGGTAACACCTCGTGTTTGCTCAACAAGAACACAGAGAATTATTTGATGAATGCCAAGGTTAACAGAAAGCCGATCGTGGAAATAAACATGTATCATTCCCATGACAACGAAAGGGACCCGGATACTGCAGCGCTGAGTAGGACGAGTACGGAGAGGCTGATAATCTCAGGACCATTCTAGACTGCCTAAATCTCGGAGGACTAAGATGATGATCTATACTTTCTGAATACTCATCTACAAATTTGAGTGCTCGGTAAGGAATTAGTTTTTCAGCCAGAAAGGATAAGATACGACGTCATCGGCCTGGCCGAGACGAGACGACGGCACCCATTCAACGCCGTTTACGACACCGGAGAAGAACTGTTCCTCGGAACATGCGACAGTAGAGGAGTCGGCGGTGTCGGCGTTCTCACTAACACAATTTTGTCCACGAACATCGATCCATTCGAACAGCCAACAACACGAATCGGACGTTTAAGATTGAGATATAGATTAAAAGCAATGATGAGGACGAAGTCGAGACGTTCTATGTGAAATTGGAGAAGCTCTACAGAGAAGACCATAGATTCTTTAAGGTTATCGTTGAAGACTTTAACGCTGAAATGGGACGACGAAAATCGTCTGAAGAACGGTATATTGGACCACTGGATGGATGGAGCGAAGAGGCTGAACGGCTGTCTGAGCTTACCATGACGAACAAGGCCACTCATGGTAATTCGAAATTCCACAAACCCCACCTTTAGTGCTGGACGTGGGAGTCTCCCAATGAAGAGTACAATAACGAAATAGACCACATCATAGTAAAACGCAGGTTATACCTGACTTCGCTGTTGTCTTAAAATTCTACACGGGATGAGAGCATCGCCTTTGTGCAGGACTTCATTTCGCGCGTAAAGGAGAAAAAGCTGGTAAGTTTAAACAACAAGGTCCAAAAACCACCATGAACTGGAATTTATTCAGTTCATCAGTCGGTTGTTGGGAAGATGCTGCTGCCGATAACATCGAAGAAGAATACGATTGGCTCATTCAACATCTTCACGTTGGCGATATGAAAGCTGAGAGTTCAAAAGTCACCAGGAGACATCTGTCTCCAGAAACTTTCGACCTGAAACGCCAACGAGGAATCGCACGAGCTGTAGGCAACCACTAACTAACGTCCGAACTTGCGAAAAAGTGCAGACAGACGAAGGGAAATTTTAAAGACAGAAGAGCAGCAGTTATGGTCGAAGCTGCAGAAGCTGAGAAAAGTATTCGCAAAGCCCACCGAAGCTTCGCCAATTACAAGACCAAGATGATTGTACTCCGATGCTCAAACGGAACAGCTACAGCGTCCAAAAAGGAAATGGAGAAAATCATTCACGAATACTACTCAGATCTCTTCGATAGCCACGTCCACCTTCCGTCATATGAAATAAAAGAGGATGGATATATTGTACCACCGGTTCTCCCTTCCGAAATCCGACATGTCCGCACTGTGCTTTTCAAACGTTACGTATCACAATGAAAGTTTTCTATTCAGCAGAAGACTAGCAAGACAATGCTACTGTTCAAGCAGGGTAACCTGCAGATATCGCCAACTATCACCCAATCTGCTGTCTTTCGTTAACAAACTTTTCACTCCATTCAAGCTAAACAGGATTGATAGAACACTTAAGGAAAAACAGCCATGCGAGCAAGCAGGATTTCGATGACTGAGTACGATGGACCACATCCATATGATAATAAAGACACTGAAACATCGCGAGAACACAAGAGATCGCCCCGAATCGCTTCCATCGATTTGAACAAAGCTTCTGACTCGGTTGAGGTAGGAACAGTCATGGAAGCCCTGGACATCCAGGACTTCAATACTCAGTATATATTCTTCGTTACCTGTATAGAAATTCCACAACTAAGATGTCATCATTCTACTGCGATATTAGCACTAACCTCAAAACAGGGGTTAAGCAAGGCGATACCACACGCCTAAATTATTTATTTATTAAAACTCTCGAGAATCTCATGCGAACACTAAACTGGAACAATATGAGAACGAAAATCGATGGTTGGCAATAATACCATCCTCGCTTTGCTGATGACATCTCTCTTGTAACACCAAGCATTAGCCAAAAGAAACGAATGCTTGCCGACTTTGATAAAGACTGTGGAAAAATTGGTCTCCGACTAAATCTCACAAAAAGGATGTTCACGAAAAAAGAATTCGTTACTCAACGGAATGAATATCTCTGAATGTTCCAGTTACGTCTGCTTAGATCGGGAAATCAACATGGTGAATGACTTAGCTTCAAAGTTGGGCAGGAGGAAAAGAGCGGCTTGATGAGCTTTCAAGAGCGTCGAGGATGCAGTAAAGAGCACAAAGAACACCCAACTCCGTGCCCACCTTTTCGACTAAATGGTACTGCCTGGCTTAACGTATGCGTCAGAAATCTGGTCGATGCGTAGGCAGGATGAAAGATCACTCAGCGTTATCGAACGCGCAGCGAAAAGAATGATGCTAAGAGTATCCCATGTCGCAAAAGTAATGGAAGCGATCCGAAGCTCCCACCTACGTCAACGATCAAAAATCCAAGATAGCGTTCTGTACGCCAAATAGGCGAAGATAAGGTGGGCCAGACACGTAATGCGTATGAACGGCAACCGTTGGACAAGAGCCGTTAGCGACTGGATTCTTCGGGATGTCAAATGTACTGCAGGAAGAACACCGATCCGATGGTTATAGGTGTTCACGAAATTTTCAGAGTTCCTCACAAAAACCCTAGAAGAAAGTATGATGCTCAGTGAGTACCGAGCGCGGGCAGAACTCATTGGGCTACTCGTGCACGCATCAAGTAGAAATGGAAGATTTACCGCCGGCGCTCCAGGTATTCAACGATCAAAGGGACAACAGGTAACAGGTGAGGTGATTATCTTGCCTGAGTACAATGTCCGATGTTGAGAAAGAGTAATCATGGATGGTTTTTGTCATCACACGAAGTTAAGTCCTCAAGGGACCACTCACATGCAAGTAAGCCTGAATTTCAAGTAAAGATTTCCACCTTAACCTTCCCAGGTTTAGGCAGTCTTGAAAGGCTCTGAGATTTTAGCTCGTACTTAGCTTACCGTACTCCTCCTATCTAACTGCGGTACTAGGGAACTTTTCAACGTCTGCGGAATGACGCTTTTCCACTTTACTGTACATGGCTATTTATGACAAGTAGCTTGCTAGTCTCTCCCAGGATAGAGGGGAGCCCATTTGTTGGAAGTGACTCCTAACCGTCTACCAAATACCTCTTTGTCACTTGATTGCAGGCTTGTGGCTGAAGTGACTCGTAGAGTAGAATCCGCATAAACGATAACACACCACCGTAGGAAGGTATTTGGCACATCGGTGCAGAGATCGTCCACAGAGTATACGTGCGTCTAAGCAAGGCGAAGCATAACTTTCTGTGGGGTTATTCACCAATATGTCAGCTCTGACCATTAACCGACTAAAGATCCTTCAATGAGGGAAATGTAGCGCACCGAACATAAGGAGCATTAGAAAAACAAGTTCAGAGCCACAAATCTGAATTCTACTGATAGATAAGAGCTGATATTCGACAAAAATTCACACAAGCTATGAAAACAACGTCATAGTACTTGAAATGATATCAGTAAACACGCTACGATGAAAACATGTTGTACTTCCGAAGTTCGTATTAATTCTTCTGTAAACAGTAAATACTGACAAGCTACCAGTGATACAGCTTTCGCACTCAACCGAACTGACAGTCGTTAGCACTCTTCATGTACAAATCTGCAAAATCGTTAGCATTCATCAACTCCAAAATATACCATCTAATTACAAATACCTATGTAAAAAGTTGAGATAAATCAGTAGACAAGCATTTCAGTTGTTATTCGAAACGCTTGAATGAGCACGTTATTACTCGACCAGTTCTTGGCCTTCAACCATAAGATGATTTGTCCGTGAGCTAGATTCAACACCTAAGGGACTAACGATGATAAGTGTAAAAGGAGATGGTGAAAATGTAGAAAGAAACTGGGAATGGATGGAGAATAAAGGTATCGATTCGGGTTTTATGTGAGAAATGATAAAAAAGAGAGAACACGAATCATTGAGAATAAGAGGAGATAAATAAAAATGTATTCAGAGTCTTACAAGTGAGGGCAATACGACAAAAGAACGAGGATTAAATGGGAGCAAAGTATGAAAGAGATAGGAAATAAATTAACTAACACATGTACAGCGGTGCGTTCGAACGTTGGGAACATTGTTTTCCTATTTGAATTTAAACTACAAAAAAAGAAGATAAGGAACAAGAGTCGATTTCCACCTACGACTGAAAAACGCCAATGTCTGGGACAAAATGAGTCACAAAGAACATATAGGACATGAAAAAAAGTGAAGCGCTGCTACGACCCGTAGAGGGCATTCAGGAACCAAGTAAGTGTTCATAAGGAAAGACATCTATGGCACTAACACTAAGGTGAGACTTTAATGTTGTAACAACTTCATCTTAACCAAAGCTTGTTTCAATTCGTCATTCGTTTCTGACAACTTCGTTAAGTCTTTAATCACATGGACCACACGCGATTCGAATTGACCACTCCTGGCGCAACGCTTCACAAGATTCGACACCAACTTCACCACCTAAATAAATAGTAACATTAACAAACAATTGTTTTCAAAACCGAAATAGAATTTATTTTACTATTATTATTACTATTACTACTATTACCATTATTACTATTACTATTATTACTATTTCTATTATTATTATCATTATTATTATTATTACTATCATTATTGTAATATATGTATACTAAAGCGGTAGTGATGTCGGTCATAAGGAGCATGGTGCTAGTTCGATTCCGCTCCGGACCAACCGAGGCTCTGATCCCTCCGGGATCGGAAAATTGGTATTGGACTTGTCCGAGAAAAAAAATTACTTTCGGCAATCCAATTGGGAACGCTCCAGCCCGGCCATCTCAGGACTCCAGGGAGAATTGACTCCACTAGCATTCTACAACATTCAAGATGAAGTGAAAATCCTCAAGCAGTAGCAGAAGCCACTCGTAAAAGTTCGGAGATCTTCGTGGATAATGCATGCGATGAAACGAAATGAATGTGAGAAGTGTTGGGCCCTGCACAGCAGACGTGAATGCGGATCAAATAAAAGCTAAAACATTGGCCAGTAGTGAATAAATTTTGTTATTGACAACCTCATGTTTGCTCAAGAAGAAAACATTGACTAATTGAACAATGCCGAGGCTAACAGAAAGTCAGACTTGAGAATTCCTCTGCACCAAGAACTATTAGGATGGTAAAATATGACCAAAACTCTGAACCTCAAGTGGGCTTTGAACATGAGATTATCCGGGGTTTACGTGCTACCCAGCTATGCTCGGTAGATGGGCTACAAAGTACATGAGCACCCAGTAAGGGTAATCGCGGGTTCGAATCCCAATTGAGGTTCCGAGTTTTGTTCATTCATATCTTAACGTTAAGAAATTGTGACTTCTCTCAGAACATTTCCTTTCGATATACAAAGTAAATTCAATAAAATTAAATTTAACCGTTAAGTCTCACGTCACTGCTTAAGGACTTCATACAGTGACATTAATATTTATCATTACAGAGCTTAGAAAGTGTTTAATACGTTTTCGTAGAAAAGAGCAATTCCTGTAGAACGTGAAAAAACAACCATTAATATTTTGTTGCAATGATAAGCATGGATGAGGTTATTTTAAAAAATATTAAATTGACCTACTAACATAACAACAAAAATAGCAAAGGCATTACTATGCCAGTGAATATCGAAACAGTAAAACAGCTCTTGTAATGACATCAAATGCCCCTTTTACGTTCTTCATACTATTTTTGAAAATCAGTAGTTTCGAACCATAATGTATTGAACAATTCCAGATATACTTACGGGTCCTTCAATTTCTAGCCTCATCACAGCAAATTCTAACAAACTGAGTGCGACAGTTGGCTTTGTAGATGACTGTGCCTCAATGAGAGAGAGCACTTGCTGCATTGTGAAATCCACCTTCTCCATCACTGACATCCTTGAATTACAAATTAAATAGAAAGAAAAATTATGAAAATAGTGAAATAAGGATCCCAACCTATAGGCCTCACTAGAACCATAGTACACATCATTCGACTGAACGTTTGCGAACTTAACAGTGAAATCTGGTTGAGATACCGCCCATAGATATTGCAGGCAAAGAATCCATGCACTACCTAACAAATCTTCTTGGTTTTGGCACCATTTTCTTCTAAAAAAATCATTCAAATGTTAACAGGCGAAAATTTGCCAATATGCACCTAGAATTCCTCAAGAGTGGCCGGTTGTGTATGATATTGGTGTACTGTTAAGGATTAGTAAAGTAGCTCTGAATCTAGGTGATCTTCCCCTTGAGGTGAAAAACTCGCTGTACACCAGTTGAAAACCACGGTCAATTCCCAACCACAATGAGGCGAAAGGAATATCGTTAGTATGAAAGCACATGGACTTTGGTAAAACCATAAATATTTCCAGACTTTAAACAAATATTAATAGAACCAAATAAAATAAGTGTTGTGTTATAAAGAACATCGATATCCCCATAATACTAAATATCTCGCATTTTAACTCGAAAAAATAAACTCAAATAATCAACAAACCTTTGAATGACCTGGGAAAAAGAATCGAACAGGAATAACAACGGTTTTTGCGGAATATCAGGTACATAAACAAGTAAGGCAAGAAACTGTGCAAAAATAGACAGCAACTGAAGTGGCGGCAATGTCAGTTCGTTTAGAGTTTCCAAAGAAAACAACAACAACGCTTCTGTCTAAAATAAAAACTTAGGCTCAATGATCATCATAGAATAGACGGAAACAAACTTGCGACACAGAGTTTGTCAGCAGGCTAAGGTAAACGGTTTGCAGCGAAAACTGAAACCGCATCACTAGATCGTTGAGGGACGGTATAGTGATGAACAAATTAGCGATTAAAACTCTGGAAAATACCCGACAGATAAATCACTTCCAATATCAAATACACGAACGAAGACCTAAAAATTACCTCATGAAGGTTCCTTTTTTCTTCGACCGCTGAGAATTAAAGAAATGGAAACCAAGCGATATCATCAAATTTATAATATGCTGAACGAAGGTAATACGAATACAGGAAAGAGTACATGAAATAATCAAAAAAAAATAAAACAAACTGCTATGATAGTATCGGTCTGATATAGGGATGAACGAGCCCGGACGAGGAATGCGAGATACCGCTCTGGATCATCGTGCAGGAAAGGACGATCCAGCGCTGACGAAACGACACGCTCTATTACACGGACCTTAAAAGCAAGTAAAAAGCTTATAAACAGGGTTTCTCAGGAAACCAAGTTCAAACTGAAAAGAAAAGTTTTCCATAAATAAGATGTTGTCCGAGCCACTAAGAAGGCTTACTGCTTCAAAACTTCAACTGTTTCTAGCTTTCATGAGTCGTCATACAACTGTGATTCTCCCTTTTGAAGGGGCAACCGAGCTAGAAGTCGATCTCTCAGCAAAACTCGAAGATCAGATGTAATCAGATCAGCTCATTCCCATTTTTCATTTACAAGTTTATAATCGCACACTACATTCTTTTTCGAGAACTCGAAATCATATAAACAACTGAATAGTGATGAAGCGTGAAATTACAGCTTTTTTAAAGCTTACTTCCTCAAGAAACAAAAACCGATTGGTTTATTACCTTTCTTTTCATTTTTCACAGAGAAAAAGGATGCTTGTGAGAAACAAGTTACGAATAACCATCAGTTTGCGAACGGAAAAAGAGTAGAAAGAAGAAACGTTAGACTTGGAGCGGAAAATAACCATCTCCAATCGCTCCGAAGCGGTAGTAGCTCTCTGGGATAAATTTTTAAAGGAAAAACCACACCCCAAAATGATGTTTGGTGAAAATAAGGCCCTATTTATTAAGCCCTTCATTTCTAACAAAATAGGTACATTTAATAAAACGTTGTCTACAAATACCCGGTCTAGAGAAATTGGAAACAGTGACTGACATATCACCGGACCTCTCATACGCTAGCTATTTCGTAACCGACTGGTATTACCGTCTATGCACAACGCAAACTTGCATAATTTCCTTAACTGTAGACATGGTGATTGTAGGTGATGGTGTACGGTGCGTCTGATTCCTTCTAAAAGGTCTGGAGACGGAGTGAAATACGTTGGTAAAACAGTTAGACCACTCCGTTACGTATAAAACAGTATTTAGCTGGAAAATCCATAGTTAAACCAAATACTTTCAGGAATGTGCATAGGACACAGAAAAGAATCTAAACGTTCAACGATCGAAACACTCGTGTTCTGGATAATTCCAAAAATCCAAAGAAGAACTGCAGGGAGGCATGCTCGTTATCACGCATGATCACACACAATCTCAAACTTTTAACTAATGTGACAGAGGCACACTACACACACAAGTAAACTTTAAGCAGTTGGTCTCCATTATAAACGGAAGATTCATAGAAAACGGCGGATGTTTAAAGAAGTTGCTTCCAATGTGGTTAAAATTTAGGTTTCAGATTTTTCTGCTTCAGTTCTGTAAAGGCCTGGCCGAGGAGACCGCAAATCAACATGACCTTTCCATGCTTTGAAAAAGGCGAAATCTGGCGAAACATTAGTGGGCGTGGAATAAATATCGTAATACCAACCTCGGGTCTGCTTATCATGCGAACAGTAAATTACTAATCAATGACGAGGTTACCTACGCTGCCAGTTAGTTCGAAACCGTCTCTATGATCGTTTGTGCAGCTCAGAAAACTGCATGTGTCCTAACGGGAGAGACGGGGATTGCATGAGTTTAGGTATAATATACTTCATCTCATGTAACGTATGCGGCGAGGAATATATTGGGGAAACGGGTAGACCACTTTGTGTCCGCATAAAAGGACATCTAGATGGAAAAGCTAAAATCCGTTTAAACACCCCTCTAGGTACGCATAGGGCACAAAAGCACAGCGGCGATGATTTTGAAGTGAATGTGCGGATCCTAGCGCAAGAATCAAAAACATCAACGCGTAAAACTCTTGAGGCGTTTTGGATAAATTTCAAAAATCCAAAGATGAACCGGAAAGACGAATGCTTCACTATCACGCGTGACCTGGCGGCCTATTTCAATATGATATTTTGACCACGGGGCGTGTCTTGCTCACGACTCCACGTGAACTACGTGAACTATGGACCAGCCCCGCACGTAACACCACGGTAAGTGGCCTTTCTGTTCAATATGGCGTCTATTTGATAGTTTGATCTTCCTTAACACTTTAACCTTTCTTTTCCACCGAATAATAAAAATATTCTAATATTAAATACATTCAGGCTCTGAGGAGGGCGAAGTCGTTGAAACGTCAGCCATCGACCAGCAACATCAAAAACAACAACGACGACGAAGATCTGTACTACCCTCGCGTCAGCTTAAGAAGATCAGTTTATAAGATCACATAAATAAATATATCAACTATCTATGCCGAGGTTTATAGAAAGTCGGTCTTTCGGATCACAGAGAACTTTTACTTTTTTACATCTCTTTTTAAAGAAACTGTCATAACATCTACTGTGCAGATCCCAACATTTCTTGCTTTCGATTCGCTTCCCACCACCCATGAAAACCTTCGAACTTTCTGCTTGTGTAATGTGGTTGCTGCTTGAAGATTTTCGTCTTCCTTGTTAATGTCGTTGAACGCTGGTCTAGTCGTTTCTCCTAGCAATTTTGAAGATGGCCGAGCGTAGGCGTTCCTACGTGGATTGGAGGAAAGCGTTAGAGAGGGGGTCGAAATCGCGTCGTCACTTCCTGATCAACGACATCATCAACCGCTGCGCTACCTTCTCCACTCCTATTCTTTACCATTACAAAGAACTACGTTCAGTAAATCGACAAAATAACCCAGAAACCTCAACAACTGAACAGTTCATTGGTCAACAGCAAGGGACCAGTCCTTATTCACGATAATACATGTTGCACTACCGACGCTGCAGAAGTTTGAACAGCTAGACTAAGAAACTCTGCCTCATCTTCCACACTCGCCAGACGCCTCGCCTACCGACTACTACCTCATCAGGCACCTCGATAAGCTAAAGCTGCCTTCAATGAATTCATCGCCTCCAGAAGTCCAAAAGTCTAGGCAGATGGCATAGATAAACGTGTTTTTCGTTGGGAAAATGTGCAGACTGATGGTTGTTATTTCGATTAACAATGTTTATCCTGAGATAACATATACCACTCTAAAAACATACATTGAAATTCGACATAAATTTCCGAACAACCTAATACTAGCACCATTTTATTTATATGTAAAAAAGACGACACCTTACATCTACATATATGTATATATGTATGTATATATATACACATGCATATATATGCATACGTATACATACACGTACATGTATGTATATACATACATATATGTATATATATATCCTTAGCGGAGAGCCCTCCATCTGGACAACGAATCGGCGTAATCATTCATGAAAACAGCAAGAGGTCACCAGGACAAGCGAATAAATGGATACACACAATCCTCACAGAAACGATGCCATCAAGGAGTGGTAATGTGGGGCTCCACGTTTATCCAAGCAACTTTGTTGAAAACTTTTCCGACGTAATACCCGCAGATTTGACTATATTTCACCCGACGCTCGCTCTACCTGCATAAAAACTGGTGACATTTGGAAGGTATAAAAGCGCTAAACAAAGAATGGACTATGACATATAAGCAAACTATAATTAGAAGCTCTTGCTTGGTTTAAGAAAACAGTATGGAACATAAGTAGAGACTTTCCCGATAAGCGTTAAATGTCGCTGAATGGAAACTACCCGAAACAATGGTGGTATACCTCGTAGTAACTCATTTCGTGCACGAAGTTACTAGAAAAATCGGGAATTGGAAGCTACTGCCTTAACACATTGCAAGATCGCAAAGTAAAAAGACAAGTACAGTAGGACGAATCGTTGACGGATACTGAGCACTACTCATTCGAAAAATGAAAGCAGTTGTATAACGGCCATTCGATGATTGCTTGGAGATAGTTCGTCAAATACCGTGAACGACACATAAATCGTGTATGTTAGAGAGAGATCCACATCTACAATGCCTCTCTGAACCGAAACAAAGATGAATCAACAAGAACAAGACCTGTGAATGGCCGACAAAAAAGCAATACAATCATAAGAAAGGCCACTAAGAGGACGGCATTTTGTATGCCCGACCGTGTGAACTACCGCGATGAGGTCTATGCTTAGCTCCAAATAACTGTAGTCACAGATCTAGCCGATTGTAACACTAGCAGAAAAAAGTGCTGTAGATTGCATGATGGAGAGAAGACACTTAAGTATTGGAATGCACAAAAGCCGTTAAATTTGTAGCCAAAACTCAATGGTGTTTCACAAGAACAACACGATTGTTTAGAAAATTTCAGACCTCATCTGTAATCGAGTCTGGTCGAATTGACAAGCAGAGGCGGCTGCAATGCTCGATAATCTACAATTAATTTTCAATTGCATACTACACCAAAGATGACGGATGAAATAGAAAAAAGTAGTAAACCTGGTTTATAACATGGAAATTATCGACACTAGCTACAGGAAAAGAACGTATAACAGCGGTTAGCAGAGCTTTCGCACAACATGATCCATAAGGCTCATCTCTGAAAAACATTCCAGCAATTTTTAGCTAGAATGCAATGCATACAAACAATCACAGGTACCTGATATAGTCCAAAATACTAACAAAAGACTTCGCCCCTAGTAACAACAAGAGATCTTCTGCACCACAACACACAAGATTTTCCACAGTAGCAGCCAAGTTGGCGAAATATTCCTTTGTATCCTGGAAAAGTACTTCATACATTAAAAGAAATACATATAAGAATATATAATCTACAGTGTAATATATACGAGACATACATTGAAAAGATGAAGTTTCTCCAATATAAGTTCGCATAGATCGGACAGTTCATTTACCGAAAAGTATCTAAAACCCCCAACACATCATGAAATATTCAGAATATTTTATTAAAAAAGAACTGAACTCGCCGACTAATAAAAGTTCCCCAAACTATGCAGCATTTCATGAACTCATCGACCTCAAATCGGGAAAGATGCGGCCAGACCATCCTAAATTTCGAAATAAAACTTAGAATAACCAAGAATACAAAAGTTCAACCCATGGATCTACGCAATAAGGAAGCCCCTGTTAGTCCAACCGTGAGTCTACGGTGCGCGCCATCAAGTGGTGGATAAACAACTGGATAACTTGCCCTGAGACGTACATGGACTGAGGGATTGACTGCCGTTAACGGCGTAGAGTATTGAAATAATCTCTAACTAGGAAGAGATTTTCACACATTCGTGTGTGTGCCTGAGTATGCGCAAATTATATTCGGCGTATCAATTCAGTGAACAGACTGTCAATACGAAATAAATGGTAAGCACATTGGAAGTAGTGAACAGTAGTCTTCAATAAATAGGCTCGTCGTCTACTTTGACAAAAATCGGCAATCTACACAAGCATATATTGAACCTGCATCCCATAGCTGGATGACTCGTGGGAAATTGTCGTCAAACCAACGAAAACAAAGATCGTCTGATAAGGCAGCGTTCGGTAAAATGAATATGAAAAGGATGCTAAAATTCCAGATCTAGTCCCTATTTTTATTGGACCCCAGTGAGCTACAGTGACGTTACAACAGACGCAGGTTACCACTACAAACCTCTATTGGGGGCTTAACGATGCCACCTAACACGAATAAACACGACGTCATCGGGCTGGTTAGAGAGAGAAGACATCTAACATTTAAACTCTATTTATGACACCAAAAAATCGTTCCTCAAGTCACGCAATACTAGATGGTAATGCTGGCAATTTTTTCAAACGCCAGCATAGCCGATATTTCAAACTATTCTGCCTCGTATAGACACGATAGTGTCTATACCCTATAGCAACTATCCCCGGAATAGTTACTATTTCTTTCTATTACTGCATGTTTCTGTAGTAAGGATCAGATCTACTGTTTCTCAAGTTGCCTGGCAAATGTCGTAGTACGTAAGTATTTTGATCCCATCCTAAGAAACTTCGTATAGAGAATTCCTCTGTCAAAATTCTCTATCTACCTAGCAGACATTCAATGGGTCGATGGAGACGGCCTTTGCCACAACACCACAAGACATAGCATCACGCGACCATCGGTCACACCACCGGGCATGCTGATGGGTACGTCCCATTGCTTGGGGAATGGACCCCGCGACCCGGGCCTTGACCCTCGCTTGGACGTAGCCATGCCCGGACGAGCACCACCTCTTATTTGGGGACTTGGAGGTGCTTTTGGGAGTCTTACGTTCGACTTGATTGCCTTATTCTTACGCCAGTATTCTTTTAATCGTTATTCCTGTTGTACTGGTTTTTGCCTTTATGTATATAAATATTTAATCCCAAGTTTGAGTGTCGAAAGCTGTTGTACTGTGTCAACTACGAAAAGCCCCTCGAGCATTCTGTTTATAGCTAGTGGTTATTCGGTGTCGAGAACTAACACGAAGGCCTATATTCCGCTAGCAACTGCGATATACCCAGTTCAGTGGGTTCCAGAATTCTTTTGCTGCACTGTGTATTTAATCCGACAACTAATCGAAAGTAAATCAAAACAGTACGGGTTAAACCAAAAATCCACTCTTTACATTTGCTGATTTGCAAAAAAAACCTGCTTTTTTATGGCAGGGTGAAATACAACCATACTAGCGCTGAGCTACTTGCAAAGCTCAGACCACAGGCTAGATTCGAATCCGCGATTATCTTTGAGCGGGCTCATGTGTCACCCATTGCACCACTGAGACCCTCGCCTTGCTTTTCCCTTAATCAGTTCTTTACCCTAACGGAGCTACAACAATTATCCGTTAATGAGAATGATGTGGGAAGCACAAATAGGCGTTCAACGCTGGAGCCTGAGTTTTGCAAATAACTCAGTATCATTGTGGTTGTATTTCACATAATATTCTGCTATGAAAAGAAAGTAATATGGTGTTGACAAAACGTTACATATTGTGATTTCGACTATAGCCACACCTTAACTCGGTCCAATATCGTTTTGTGCTCCGCACATCAGTCCCATTGACGGGTGACCAATGTTAATGACATGTTACTGCTAATGGTACTGTCAGGTAGAAAACTGGCTGAGAGAAAAGCAGAACAATGGTTTCGGTAGTGTAGTGGATAACATATGAGCCCTCAGAAAGAGTAATCTTACCTACTTGGGTACTTGGTCGTCTCGTCCTCGCTGGTTGTCTGCCCGAGCTATGCCTCAGGTCGTCATCACCACAGGCAGCCGTCACCCTTGTGGAACAGAGGGAGATTTGCCACCATACGGCTAGTTTGATAACTGGACGGGGTGGATTCTTGTATTGGTTTACCCTTAGCTGGGCATTCCGATGGAAACACCGGACTCCTATTCAGCTTGGGAGACCCTGCCGGGGTGATGAATCCACCGCTGTACATCGCACTCCGATACCCAGGAACACCTTCCAACCACGATGAGACGGTAAACCTTTGGTGCAAATATCTCAACATCTTTGTATTTGAATTTCTTGTTACTTCATTTTAATCGCTATGATTATTGTAAAGAGCGTGTGTACATGAAAATTGCGGAACAAATTCAACATAAAATACAAAATACTTCCAAATGCCGACAGCAAAGCCTTTGCAATGCGGACTTTGATAACATATGGCAAAGGGTAGCATACATTCGTTCTCATGAGACGACAGCTAAATCTCTTCTACAATCCTGTTGTTTTGAAAACCCCTAAACTCTTCCGGCTATTGAGAAAAGATTTTTTATCACCAAAAAACCAGAGAGTTGGCAACCGAGAAAATGCTCAAATTCGACCGGGCAAGCCACCAAAAACGGGGCTGGGGTGGAATGGGTTAAATAACTAACGATCCGAATCGGATGTCAATATTTAAGAAGACGTGAATCATTGTTAGATATGAAAATCTTTGTCACATATGCCAGAATACCGAGTTATGATGGAAATGAAAGCGAAGAATTCTATATGAACTTGAAGAAGTTCTAGAAAGAAGATTACCTTCTTCAAGGTCCACACCATAAACGAATTTAATACAAAATTGGTTTCTGAAAAACATTTAAATGACTTCATATTGATATCCATGCACTGGAATGGGGAGTATAGATTGAAGGGCAGTTTGAGTTAATCACAATGATAAATACCCCTCAGTTCAACTTAGAATTCTAACTCTTCCCTTAGCACTGGACGTGGGAGTATCGCTATGACGGAGAATACTACGCAGCCCCACAGTCACTAAAAGACGTCTATATCCAAACACTACAAACTTGACATGCTGATCGGAGGTACTGTAAAGGAAGATATTAAGAAAGGAAGATCAACAACCCTTTGAGGCCGCATAAGGACTAAAAATAAAGGATAAAGTTCTCCGCGATGGTCAATCCCTGGGATATGCGCCATGCATTCAACTTCATTAAGCGTCGTTTGGAGGTAATTGAATGCATATCTGGTCTTTACAATGACTCGCGGTGGGCTACCGATGTATCGAGCCAGTGCTGGTATCCACCCAGACAAGTCTGGTACCAATTTGTCGATCCCGGAGAGATGGGGGGCTTGGTGAGCCTACGCGCAAAGATTGATCCCATGTATGGGTCGCAAGGCGCCTCCGACGACTGCGTCACACCAGTCCAGGGTCACTTAAGTAAGAAAAAGGCGTAACGCTTGGCGAGACATCGCCAATTGTAAAATCAAGGTGATTTCATATAGAAGGAGAAATCTCTGAATCCAGAAGGCAATTGATAAACTTGTTTTCAATTTTTTGCTAGGACCTCGTGACACTACTTCCAAATCCCTGCATATGAGATCAACGGGGATGGATTATCGCCCCAAACTACTCTTCCTTAAGAAGCCGGATATGATTGCCTCGTCGGTGAAATACCGTCATTTGTGCCGGACAGAATAAGACTCGAACATCTGAAAGTTACCCCTAGAGCTCATCTGCACATTAGATAAGATTATTACACTAAATTTGTCAGAATGCGATTTGCAAACCAGTAGAAAGACAGAAGGACCGCGTTGCTGCACAAAATAGGAGGCTTACACGACAGCCAATTAGATTGAACAGGATTCGGAACGATCCGCACGAATGATCACACACCCATACGAGTGCGATACTTCAAAGAGGGTAAGAGTACAAAGTTGAAACAAGACGAACCAACCTATCATATTTTTATGGTCGTAAAAAGAAGTCTTGATAGGGGGAGGTAGCACAGCAGCAGTGATCAGGAGCACGGTGCTGGTCCGCTACGAGCTCTCCAAATTTCTCATCTACCCGAATCGGGAAAACAGACTTCTCAAGGCTGACTCACTCCCTCAAATCCATGTATGAACGCTCTAGCAGAGCTATCCCAGAACTCGACAAATTAAAGATTCGACGGGAATTTAACGCCATTTATAAAGAAGACAACAATGCGTATGCATCAGCCACACACAAAAGTGAACGTTGAAAGACCCTTGTAGATGAAAGGATGTGAGGAAAGGAATTGAATGCAAGAACTGCTGGAATCTGCATAGCAGTTATGAAGACGGATCATCAAAAGAAACAGACAAAAAAGTGTTGTGCTCAATTCAGATGGATGAGGATGAGAAGCTCTGGTCAGTTAGGAAATCACAGCTGAGTGCAGAAAAATCATGAGTTAAATGAAAATAAATAAATGAAAAATCATGACAACAACTACACGACCAGAATTTTATCACTTACAACGATATTGCCATCGTCGTGAAGAGATGGGTTCTCTAAGCTGATACTGTCGCCAGAACTATTTATAGTCACTCCAGAAAACCTCAAGTGAAAACTGGATTTGGATAGCACAGGAGTAGAGTTGATGGCGGTAGTAACACCACATTTTCGTTCTAGTGATGACACCATTCTTAAGAGAATATGCAACGAATGCTCGAGCCATGTGTATTTGGATCGAAAATATGACATGACAACCAATTCCTTTTCAGAGACGAGCAGGAGAAAACAAAAGGATTGGGGAGACAAATGAGTCAAGAGTGAAGTGAAAACGACAGCTAACTAACGTGTACTACTTTTCTACTCTCCCCTCGCAAACAAGATGGAAGGTTCTATAATAACAACCTCATGTCTGCTTATAGAAGAAAAACACTGAGTTAACAATCAATGCCGAGGTTAACAGAAAGTCGGTCTTGGGAAGATGGAAGGTGTTAAAAATCAGATGACTGCTGATTTGTCTTAATGACAACTGATGAACGACATTATAGCGCACAACAAAAGAAACCATAGACCCGATGGTCAGACCTCATGAAGATCCTAGAAGAAAAATTTTGTTTTTTTCAATTACCTGAAATGAGGAGAACCAACACTCAGCTACTGCTGCACACAACAGAAACAAATGAAAATTTTGCTGATGCCAGCTTGAGTGACTATGTGATCAACGGTAGGGGAGGACAGATAAAGATCTACAGTATTTGAACATGAACGACATATCCATATTTTCGAAGAGTCTCTAATAACAAATTGCGTACCGATACAACCTGGGCCGAACATCATTTGGAATTTCACTTTGAAGTAAGCGAGCTAAAAACACTTCAAAATCTGCAGCTGGATGTTTTTGCGAAATAATCTGAAGAATCTTCATTAGAAAGACGATATAAGCGTAAGAAATGAGTTAACCAAAACAAATGAGAACTAACAATTTCACAGACTTCTATGCAGTAGTTTGAGAGGTACTCGAGTGACACTGCTACCACAAACGGGTGTAGGAGTGAAACTAGTTGCTCAGGCTGCTTGCAGTACTCCCACAATGGACCGAGATCTTCCATCGTTGTTGCACCGTAGGAAACACACTGCACAATCCATTCCAATGCTGGTGCGATGAACTCTGTCTGGCGTTTATCATAAAATGATAGACTCAAAAGAAAACTGAATAGTAAATAGTTCAAGCCATTATCAGTACTACTCAAAGGCCTAAATAAGGGTAAGTAGAAATAAAAACACTGAAGTGATGAAACATACAGGTTGCCTAGATGACTGCATCCAGTCATTCAGTGCTTTCCAATGCGGTCCTCGATCAGTTGGTTCCAGAATCATAGATATTTTGCATATATAGGCACGCGCATATGCTGCTGATAAGGGGTGTGGAAATTCTAGAAACGACTAAAGAAGTAAACGAGACGCTAGAAGTACTGGGGCATAAAATCAGTAGCAAAAAAGGGAATAATGCCCGAAAAACTGGTAAGACAGAAAACGAAGATATTAAACTAACTCTCGACCATTTTAGTAAGCCTCAGAAGATTTACGCTTAGTGTAGCGCTATCCAGAAAGCGCAAACAACCTATTAGAGTGCTTTCCACTGAAACATAGAATTCAACTAGAAGCCTTAAGAGCCACAGCAAATACAAAGTAAAATAAGACATCGCGTGCTAGAATAGTACGAACCACGCATCTTAGCGAGGGCTAATCTTATTTGCAATGACAGTACCAAATGAAATTCTTGCAATACTTACCATAAAATCGTGGAACTACTTCCTTGATGTCAGCAATCTTGCAAAACCAATTTCTTGCAACTTCAGTGGTGTCAGATAGAATATCATCAGAAACAAAATTACTTTGTAAGGCAGCACAGCCAGCAGCCTTTCTTTCCTGGTATACAGAATCTTGTATTCAATCCCTTTAATCAGCGTCCAACTGGTAAAAAATGAAATTTAAGGTACCTCATTTGCTTTCAAAAACAGACGGTCATATACAAGCTTTCCGAATAGGTCAAGAATATCGGTTACAAGGACCCATTGAACAGGGAAGAACGACGGTGTGGTGGGAGCAGACAACAGACGTGCAAGTTCAGTAACCAGCTATGCATAAGTGACGATTAGTAATAGAAGTTAAAAGCGTTCTTGAAAGCTGAGAGATCTAGACAATTGCATCTACCCGGACAGCTTCTATCCTTTTGTTATCCTGCCAAGCTGTGATCAAAAGTTCTCGAAGTTTGTTGACGTGACTGACGAACTCGTTTTGAGAAGTTTCTGACAATCGTCGAAGACCTGACATGTCCTCAAGTATTTCCAACCTAGAAAAGCAACTTATTTTGACTGGAAAGGATCGACATTGGTCTTCAGTAGATGATAAAAACAATGATCAAGAATTCCGTTTACTCGAATCATGACGGGAGTAGTAACTTTGTTGCAAGAGATAAATACTGTGGTCTTTAAAGGAAACAAGTATTAGCATATTCACCTATATTTGGCCTTGTTGCTAACAAAAAGCTTGGCAGGAACGGGTCCTCCGGATGTGCACGATAAAGCAGTTTTGTTCGACTCAATGTTAGCATTTAAAATTTGTAACCGTTTGTTCCTCCATGGCTCGAAATTAGGAAGTTCGACATCTAAAACCAACAGAAAACAAGTCACAGAAAAGAATTACCCTGATATTATTACCTCTTATTGGCCCCTCCTTGTGTTTTGTCTCCAATGTATTATCCAGAATGTTTTCCTTTCTAAGGGAAATGTCCTCTACGGCGTCCAAGTCCAATCGAGTGAGATTATTTTCCGAGTCTTCTTTAACTGTTGCGCCTAAATCAAAGGACTGAACAATAAATGGACTAACTGAAACTTGCGGATAATCTCCTACTTCGACAGGTCTATGCTCAATTTGAGGACTACAAATGTCACTGAACATCGTACATATCGAATCTGTATTGCTCGTCTCCTACGGTTTTTTCTTGCCTTAGCAAAGAAATCTCCTTTAACGTCCGAATGCGTTATATATCGGTGTGCTTTTCCGGTTGTATAAACATTCCAAGCAGGTTCGCTTCTTAACAAAGTTGGATCACTTGTTCGGCAAGCGAAACACCCAAGAATGCTTTGCAATAGTTCCATGAAAACATTTTGAAACATGGGACGTTATTCATGCATGAAATTTGAAAGTGAGCAGTATGTCTGGAAGCAAAACCACTACAGAAGTGAAAACGGAAAAAGTTCTACGCTATGGAAATGGATTTTCAATAAAATAACGGAAATGAAACATCTGCTTCGAAAGTAAGGATAAATGATAAAGCTCTCACCGTTGATCAATCCCTAAGGGATGCGCCATCCATTCGGCTTCATTAAGTATCGTTGGAGGTAATTGAATGCATATCTGGCCTTTACAATGACTCGCGGTGGCCTACCGATGTATCGATCCAGTGCTGCTATTCTTCCAGACAAGTATGCTACTCACTTGCCAACCCCGGAGGTATGGAAGGCTTGGTGAGCATGGGGCGCGGGAAAGCCTGGGCGTCCCATGTGTATTGTAGGGCGCCTCCGACCACTGAGCTAGTAATCGAATCATATACTAGGTTTACAGTCGGTTTCTTTATATCAAGTAAGGCATGTTTCCAACAAAAGGTACGGATGTTGCCTAATTTAGACCAAACTAACCCAATGGATCAATGAAATCATATTTGCACGGTTCATGCGCATCTTGAGCAGGCTCCCTATTCAGTAGAAAAGACGAAAGGAGCGGATGCCGAAACACCGGCATGGAACTGGTCACATCGTCGACCCGTTGATGCTCATAACGGAACTTCCATATCGAATCATCACGCGATCCCATCACATGAAATGGAACAAGTCGTAAAAACAAGGAGTGGGAAACTCCATAGTATTCTTCATTTAACAGCCTTACTATATCTACTGTTTTCCTTCGATGAGCAAACACAAGGTTGGTATTTTTGTAGCGAGGTTTGCTCAGTGAATAAAAACAGTGGATTATCAAGAAATACCGAAATTGGTAGGAAGTCGATCTTGGGAATTAAGTCGCTACAAATCGTTCTTTAAAAAAATTTGGTTGGTTTCAAATGACAGAGACGAAAAATTCATAGCATACAGAAGACCGACGTAAACAAATGTTCTACAGAACTAGACGGAGCTAGCAAATATCCTTCAAAGATCTAACAACAGTGACTAAAACACCGTTAGTTTTGCCATGAGGAAAAACCATCTTGTAATACTGGCATTACTTTGAAGACGCACCTTCGACGTACAAATCCAGGATTCTTCTTCTTTTTTGTAAAAATCCTCGATGACCTACGGACAATCTGTGACAAATTGCAACAATGGTTCCTAATCTAGGATTAGAGCGCAATTTTTCTACCTCTAGTGGGCGACTTGCTCATCAACATGAGCAATTCGTTTTTCAAAAAAAAAAGAAAAAAAAGATTGCATGACGACTGTTTTCGTATTTCGATTAGTAATCCACTTCAGAAAATTTGGCTAGATCCAACTATGAAAACCGACATCGCGAGAATGAGCGGCTGTGAGCAAAAAATGCGGATCAATCCGGCTTTCCGAAGAAGGCGAAGGCGTGAAAACGTCAGCTGGATAAATCTTCTTTGCAAACCTCATGTTAGCTTAATAACCTACGAAGGTACTGATTATTGGTGCTGAGGTCAAGTGACAATCGATTTTGAAAACAAATTGTCGACTGGTAAAGTCGGTGAAGCGAAACTGCATTCTAATAGTCTTTCTCTCATAGAGCGCTATCCATCTATAGTGTGCACTGTTTTATTTCTCATCCTGACCAAGTGCATCGATTCAGCATTGTTTCACCAGGTTTTCTTCTTCGAAATCGACAGAAGTGCGAAGAGGTGTCTGTTTTAGTCTTGCAGTGCTCCGTTGTATTTTTTCTCAGTGCTCTAGAACCTGGTAGAATGGTTTTCCTCAGTCCAATGCTCCATCGGTTTTTCTGAGATCGACTCAACAGCTCGTAGAATACAGATATCAGACGGATTAAGCGATTACTGACTATGTTGTACAGGCCTTTTTTAATTTGTAGGAACTCTATATTACTGGTCTTCCATTGGTTGCAACACTACATTCCAACAAATGACGTGTGAAAACCTCAGTTAATTTATTGGTGAGGATTGGCGGTAGATTTCAAATGCTCAAGTCATATTCTATACGGAACAAGTTGTGGTTCTTCATAGACGAGTTAGCAGGTTGGACTTTGGGAGAGAGAACTGTTGGGGAGGAAATACTCATCTTCTCTGACCTGATATGGGGTAGGTGGACGTGACTGTCAAAAAAGTTGGAGTATAAATAGAGGGTAGTTTTCTCCATTGCCTTTCTTGAAGAAGCTACCATTTCGTCTGATCATCAAGGATAACCTTGCTATTTGTTTTGTGCTAACTAACATAATACCGACTGGTGCAGGATGGAAAAATATTCATATTCATATTCATGGAAAAACAAATTATTATCAATTGATGAAAATATCAATAACAACAGTTTTGTATAAAAGAGCATCGCCGTGTGAGTGTGGCTCATTCAAGAGCTGCACAAACGATCATAGAGACGGTTTCGAACTAACTGGCGGCGTAGGGTATTGGGTGGGATGTCAACAATCGTTACATAATTTTCAAGACCACTTTTTCTTAAGCACTTTTTAATGGCGTGACTTACTTCATTTGATATGAAGGGCAGCTTAAAGGGGATCTTACTTTCGTCTGAAATATTATTTTGGGAAACTACCCAATGTTTTTCTCTGACCCGAGTGGCTTCTACTTCGTAGCCATTGGAAATGGCAATTTTTCGGGCCAGGTTTCGCGATTCCTTCCTTTCCTCTTTCCCTGTGCACACATTTTTAGCCGTACGATACATATTTTTGATAAGTGCTTTTTTATGTGTGAAGGATGAGAGGAGAGGCAGTGAACTAGAATGTTTTTACTACTTGGCTTGCGATACCATTTTGTTAAATAGCCACTTACTGAGAGCTTTATTTGGATGTTTAAGAATGGAAGCCAGTTCTCGGTAGGTTTTTCTCGTGTAAATTTTATATACTCTGACTGTCGGTTTAATAATTCAAAGCACTCATCCATCTGTTCTTGTGTGGAACAGATGATGAAGCAGTCGTCTATGTATCGACAGTAGAGTAAGGGTCGGTGATCGAGAACTGGAGCTTCCACCTTAGACATGACATTAGGTATAATATACTTGATCTCATGTAATGCATGCGGCGAGGAATATATCGGGGAAACGGGTAGACCACTTTGTGTCCGCATAAAAGGACATCTAGATGGAAAAGCTAAAATCCGTTTAAACACCCCTCTAGGTTCGCATAGGGCACAAATGCACAACGGCGATGATTTTGAAGTGAATGTGCGGATGCTAGCGCAGGAATCAAAAACATCAACGCGCAGAACTCTTGAGGCGTTTTGGATAAATTTCAAAAATCCAAAGATGAACCGGAAGGACGAATGCCTCACTATCACGCGTGACCTGGCGGCCTATTTCAAAATGATATTTTGACCCCGGGGCGTGTCTTGCTCGCGTGAACTACGTGTCGGCCAGTCCCGCACGTAATATCACGGTGAGTGACCTTTCTGTTCAATATGGCGTCTATTTGAAAGTTTGATCTTCATTAACACTTTAACCTTCTTTTCCACCGAATAATAAAAATATTCTAATATTAAATACATTCAGGCTCTGAGGAGGGCGAAGTCGTTGAAACGTCAGCCATCGACCAGCAACATCAAAAACAACAACGACGACGAAGATCTGTACTACCCTCGCGTCAGCTTAAGAAGATCAGTTTATAAGATCACATAAATAAATATATCAACTTGTTAATCATCTTAGCCTTGTATCTAGTAAAGTTTTGGCGGGTCTTCTAGGTGCTAATCACATGTTCTCCGGTCTCAGGCATTACTCCTGCTGTTCTCCTAAGATATTTCCTTACTGCCCTTCTTCCTTATTGAAGATACTTATTGTTTTGTCAGTTCGGAGGTGAGCTGTTGATTATCTGCGGCTCTATAGGTTTAAAATTGGAGTGTGAGTTTTTATGGACATATAACCTCTCTTACTAACTTTCGAATCTTAAGCTTTTAACACTAACGTTAAGATTGTATTGTTTAGTCGGCAAGTTTGAATGCTAGTCTTTTCGTAATTGCCACGCGGGACTTGTATCCGTTTGTACACAAGCAATATAGTATAGTGGCGGCTGCGATGGATGCACTTGCGTGGTAGATCGTTGAGCCGCTTACTACTTAGTAGTAGTAGTTCAGTGGTGAGAATATTAGGTTGTAGTAAATATTAGGTAGTGTACGGACTATCGTCTAGTTGTTGTCTCTGCTTGACTCTCGAAAGTGGATCTGTTTTGTGATCCTTATTATTTGATGGTTCTGTAATATAGGTATTTACCCTTTGACGTCTGAGACGCTGTGAATTGAGAGTCAAGAAATAAGTATCGTAGTTCTAGGGTACTACAATTGATCTGTAGGCTATGATTGCCCAATGAACCAACGACTAGGATTCCACGTGAGAGTTTGGCGGTTGACTTGCTCCTTTGAGTGCATCCCCACGCGGTGTTGATCTGCTAGCTTGGACGAATTGTATTTGCTCGTTCTTCCCCACGCGGGTTTTGTGGTTGTTGTCTTCACAGCATAAATCTCAAACTTGGTATTTTTGTTGAGCAAACGCGAGGTGTTATTATTCTTTGTTCACGATTAAGCTGACGTTTCGGCGGATTTCGCCT